AAGGTAATGAGACTCACCGCCTTTGTGGAAAGGTATTTATGGGTCGGCATTTTTTGGACCAATAGGACAACCTAAATTCTCATGCGTCCGAGAGGATCATGCGTCCGTATCAATTCGTCATGCGTCCCTATCAATTGCCATCTAGAATCCAAACTCAAGACCGTCCTCCCACTGACGGTGCGCAGGGCTGTCAGCGACAGTTTGTCCCTCGCCGCCAGACACAGCCAGCCGGTCCTCGTCATCCTGATCGACGATGGCTCTGGCTCGATCACTGAGCAGCGGGCCGAGAGTTGCGCACTCGGCAATGGCCCGAGGCGTTGCGAGAAACAAGGTGTCGGCCGTCTGAGCGGGAAATATGTAAGCATGAGTCTAGCGCCAGGCCTTGAAGGATAACCTACCTCAGGGTCCTTGGGATCAAGCCCTTGACAGTGCTGCTCTAGATTGCAGTCGGGGAATGTGGTAAAGATCGCGTGCAGGGCGGTCTTGCCATCACGGAAAACCTGGCCGAGATGTGCTCTGAAGTTGGCGTCGCCGTCGTCCGCCGACCACCAGACGCAAACCTTGACGTGACTGGGAAATCCAAAGTCGACAAAGTAGTTGGAAACCACGGCAGCGAATTGAAGGTTGTACGCGGGAATGAGAAAGACGCCGGGTCGGTACAGCCGGTTTGCGACCGGGAGACGCTCCTGGGCTTGGACGTGTGCATCTCGGCGATTGAGCGGGTCGTCGAAGACGATGGACATGGTGAGCCAGTCAACGGAGGAGACATGGCTGGGGGGGTTGTTTCCTTTCAGAACGAAGACGTATGGCTCGGCGGGAGTGATGCGATCATAGTCAAGCTCGGCAAAGTTGACGGGGCAGACGGACGCGTCCTAGGCGTCGGTATCATGGCCGGCGACATTGCTGTTCTCTCCAGACATCGTGACTGTGGGTCGGGTCAGTGCGAGAGGTTTGACAAGAGATATGGAAGTCGACTTGCCTCGAGGTGCGGTTTTTCGGCGGTCGAGTGTTTGCTGGGCGATCTGGGATGGCGTGCTTTGGAAGTGGGAGGAAGCGGCAATTTCTGGAGAGGGGCAGACGGAGCAAGCAAGGGCAGGAGGAAGACAGAAAGAGGGAAGGGAAGAAAGGGAAGGGCAAAAACAAGGAAGAGGTCAAAGACAAACAACCCTAACGAGCTTGCCGAAGAACAGCCGACCCCGCCAGAAAATAAAAGAAGAAAAACGAGAAGGGACGAGGCACGCAACATTCTGGACGACCAACCCCTGCCCGGACCTACATCCAACGCCGCGACTCCCATTCAGCCAATTGAAGACGACGGACGAGCTTCAAATCTCTTGATGTTTGGTGGGATAAATTCACGTCCCATGTTGGGCGGCGCGGGAAAGATCACCACTTCCCCCTTGACATTTCAGTATGGTGCATATGTCGCTTCCTCTCTCGCACCTATTCTCAATGTTTAAAAAGCCGAAGATTGCTGTGATGGGCCTCCGCCGACGTCTGGGAATGGCTGTAGCGGCTGGTTTGCAAACCAAAATATGGAGTCGGGATGGTGTACGACAGTGCGAGTGGCAGCACGTAATCAAGAGATGCTTCAAAGTGTCCACAACCGGCTTTAACAGCAGCCATTCTCCTCATGCAAATCATGGTGGCATGTACAGTACAGTATTGTGCATATGTCACTTCCTCTCTCGCAAACATTGACAATGTGTAAGAAGCTGGTAATGGCTGTTATGGACCCCTGTAAACCTCTGGCAATGACTGCGGCGACTTGTTTCCAAGCAAAACGTGGGGTCGGCATGGTGGGCGACAGTGCGAGTGACGGCACGTAATCGAGGGCTACCTGGAAGTATCCATAACCGGCCTCGACAGCGGCCATTCTCCCGTTGCTAATCGCGGTGATCTGTTCACAGTATGGTTGACTTTGAGTCCAGGCTGTGTGGGTCAAGTTGAGAAAGATGAAGTGTGTTGCATAGAGGAAGCAACATTTGATCAATACTGTATAGTTCCTTGGAGTTTATTTTAATATAGAAGCATATATAGTACAGTATTGATCAAATGTTGCTTCCTCTTTGCAACACACTTCATCTTTTTCAACTTGACCCACACAGGCTGGAGTCAACATCTCTCTTACTGTGCACACATCACCATGATTAGTATGAGGAGATTGGCTGCTATTGAAGCCAGTTACGGATCCTTTTGAGTAGCTCTTGATTACGTGCTGACCCTCGCACTGTGGCCCATCATCCCGACCCCACATTTTGCTTGCAAACAAGTCGCCGCAGCCATTACCAGAGATTTACAGGGGTCCATCACAGCAACTTTCAGCTTCTCAAACATTGTCAATGTTTGCAAAAGAGGAAGTGACATACAGTCGCGATCGAAATCGGTTTCCGGTTTTCGATTCTGCAAATTTGTAAAATAAGAGCTGTTAATGGCTTATGTTGCTGACGAAGCAGGAAACATCTTGGCAGCGGTGCCAGCTGCGTGGACCTGCGATACTTAGCTGCAAGATCCAGAAACAGCTGCGATTATGGCTCTGCGGATTATTCTGTGTAATGCACTGTTTGTGTTCTTTTGTGAAAGGACATAGTGACCCCGACAGCAGACCCACGGTGATGGCTTGCTTATGCTGCTTCGTTCCGTGGCTCGCAGCAACAAACATGTCGATTATTCACCCTCGGCTGCTTTTGGCGTCTGATTACCGTTGACGAGCCGGTAGCCGAATCGGCCCATGGGTAATCTTCGACCCTCCCGAGCTTCAAATGCGCCTTCTAGGACGGCGGGTTCCGGCGCTTATGCGACCTTGAGCCGCTTGGTTCTCTCGATTGGCCCTGGCATAATCAGCATATATTAGAGAACCCCTTCAACGAGAATCGAGCTTCAGACAGCGAACTCACTTTGCTAGGAGCACATGGAATGCCCTTCAATAACCGTTCCATGATCAGCCTCACGCGTCTCACGCGAGCTTCGCCTGTTGGTAAGTATATATGCACTTATCATCAAAGCACAGTGATAAGGAGGTCGGGAAAATGGGACGCGATATCACTTGCTATTTGGTGAGGAGGTTGCACTTAATCATTACCCCAGCTTACGTCATGCACCTATGTCGTCACTGATGGCACCCCCGGTGTTTTGCCGACATCCCTGGGGGGGGGGACAGGTGTCATCCGAACTTGTCGAATCCGACAAAACCATCTCCGGATGATCAGCAGCTGAGACACCATGGCGCCCAACCTCGCTGCATCACAACACGAGCTCATTCGCGACATGATTTTCAGTGGAAATTTTACTGACGTTTCTATTGCCAGAACTGCAGGATGCACGCCGCGCACTATCTACAACATCCGAGCTAATTTAGAGTGCTTCGGTCACACGAAAGCTCCATCGAATGGGGTCGGACGGCGAAGAAGCGTCACTCCACCAATGCTTGCTGCTCTATGCGAACGACTGATCGAGAAACCCGATCTATATCGAGACGAGATGGTGATATTTCTTTCGGACGAGTTTGATACCCTAGTGACGGCCTCGAGCATTAGTCGTGCCCTGGCCTCGGCTGGATGGAGCAAGAAGGTGGCCCGTCGCGTTGCTCAAGTGAGGGATGCGGATCTGCGGGACTTCTATCTGCATGAGCTGTCAGATTTCCGGTCTTATCACCTCATATTTGTAGACGAATCGGACTCCGATAAGCGCGCTGGATTTCGTCGAACCGGGTGGTCGCCGCTTGGCGTAACCCCCGAGCAGGTGGCCCGATTCCATCGCGATCGCCGATACCAGATCTTGCCTGCTTACGCACAAGATGGTGTAGTCCACTCGCGTATATTTCAGGGAAGCACGGACAGTGATGTTTTTGGAGACTTCATTGAGGAGTTGCTTCACTTCTGCGGGCGGTGGCCCAGCCCAAATCTGTGATTATTATGGATAATGCATCATTCCATCATTCCGACCGAATCGACGAACTCTGCGACAGAGCTGGGGTCAAGAAATTGCTGTTACCGCCTTACTCACCCGACCTCAACCCCATCGAGGAAGAGTTTGCTGAGTTGAAAGCCTTCATCAAGCGGCACTATCAGCAACACGACGGCGTTCCTGAGCAAGACTTCCCCGGATTTCTGGAGTGGTGTCTTCAGATAGTTGGAGCACGGGAGTCAAGCGCCCGAGGTCATTTCAGGAACGCTGGCATTGTTGTGGAAGAGCCATGATGAAGAGAAAGGCGTTGATGGAATTTGAGGGTAGATGCAAGATAAATACTATGACATGCTGCTGAACTGTTCTGCCCATGTTCTAATGTCCCTGACGAAGCGTTTCGCGACCCCAATTTTGATTCCTTGTTCGATGAAGAATTCGGAATTCTGGTCTTCATGGATCTGCTCGAGATCGAAACCGTCACCAAGCGCCACATCAAATGCCCTCCGGAATACCTGTTTCAGCGTTTCGCATTGCACTTGGGAGCACTGCCAGTCGCAATATTTTCTCATCGCCACGTCTCGCGGTCCTGCGGCATGCAGTGGTAGCACTACCTCACAGCGGACGCTCGCTTCCGAGCGTGGCGTCATGGCAACCTCCGCTGAAGATGGAGGCGACGAAGCTGGCATCACATTAGTGATATTGATCGGCGGGCAATTGCTGAAGGTCGCGGTCTTCAACTTGGCCTTTCGATGCCTTGCTTCATCCTGCTGCTCCTCGGCATAGAGCTGATCGCGAACTTCGTCAGGCACATCGTTGTGATTCTCCAATACGCCACCCTGCTCCACGTGTCGGATTAGGGCTCTCAAATGATGAGACTTCAGCTTGTAATGCCTCTTCCCAACTCCATCCCGCCAACAATGGGGTCCAAGGTCACAGGGCGAGCCAGGACATCGCATCAGGCTGTAGACACGCTGCCAGGCAGACGGCTGGCCTGTAGATGACTCTTCAGCATCAAGCAGGACCGCCCGTTCCTGTAGCCGATCCTGCGTGATAGAAGAGAAGCCACGCTTGGTGCCCCGCTTCGCTGTGCTCGACGGCCCGCTTTCCAGGTAATTGAACGATATTTTGATTGTGATCGCTCGTCCAGCACGGTGAAGGTGGCTCCAGTTCTTCATTTGTCTCTCTACAACATTCCAGTCTATGTCAAGGTCGTCGAACCGTTTGACTAGGTCACGCTGAGTGCGGTCGCGTACGGATACGACGACGTCAGTATCATCAATCTTGAATGATTTGTTGGAGGGCAGCTTCTTCGTAACCAGCCGATCAAGCTTGTGCCGGAGGGTTCGTGTCCAATAGGCATTCGGGGCGAGGACGAGGTCTGGTTCGCTATCTCTGGCAACTAGTTTCTTGTTCGCTGTCAACTTCCATTCGATAGAATAGTGAATACAAGTAGGTGGCTGCTCTTCGTAGAGATCGTCTTCATCCCAGTCACTCAGCTGCAGCAAGGGAAGTCTGTCGCCGCCAGACGGCGTCTCGCTTGGACTGTGTGCGGAGACCGTCTGAATATCGTCAAAGTCATCTGGCGTGGGGCTGACAGTTGCACGCTGGCCTCTGTCGAAACTCCTTCCGCTGGATCGAAAGCAGACCAATCACAGTCTTCAAAGGTCCAATCGACCAGCTGATTCGACAATGCCATTGCACAGACATGCAGGAGGGTGCCTCTAACTCGAGAGCAGTTGTGATGACGGGACGTGGCATCGCAAGTTAAAATAAACATCCGCCTCTGTGGCCACGTGGCTGTTGTTGCCTGATCGGCGGAAGGCAAGCCCCACAGGAACGTCATTTAGCTGACTAAGCGTCTGGGCACTGTCACCCTCTCTCATGTCTATTTCCATCGACCTCCTCGTCACGATGCTCTAATAAACATGTGTATATGCATACACGTACGTAGCTGCAGGTTATGCTTGAGCGAGACGCGCAGGGCTTGTTGTTGATAGTTTTCTGAGGGGCAACC